ACATTGGGTCTTTAAAACTTGTCAAGGAGTAGAGAATTAGGCTTGGGAGCTATCTAACCAGGAATAATGCAGTTTCCACTGGGAACAGTCACCATTACTGGGACACTCCCCTGGACTTGTGTTCTTACCACCTCCACTGGTTGTATTTTGCCTTATGTCTCTTCCCTTGCCAGAATATTCCATGAGTTGCCTTACTTTTCCTATTACTTTATTTCAAATTGTAATCTCTCATAGATGTCTTCATGGTTGGTTGGTACTTTGTCACATGCATGGGCTCTTACGCCAAAGGAGCCCAGGAGAGCAAGTTCCAGCCTTCTACTTTGGGGAGGTAGGTTCACAAGGTAGGAAACTCCCAGATATTGGAGTATGTTCAAAATACACTGTGCATTCACAAAATATAAATGTTCTTCACTGGCACCAAGTGCTATCATTGAAAAAAAAAAAATTAGCTCAGGAGACCTGAAGTTATTATAAAACTTTATGTGCAATCCAGAATCCATTTCCCTTAGCAATTGTTAAACACTGTCTGCTTTCAAATTTATATATTATTCATTCCTGACCTTGTTTCTAAGCTTAACCAATCACATATTTTCTCATTTGACATCCTACTAATTAACAGCCGAAACCCACTGCCTAGAGGATGGTTTCCATTATGGAGTGGTACTCCTTGGCTAGAGTGGGATGAATGAACAACTGAATGCTTTATTTATGGAAAAGGAGTAAGTGTGAGTCCATTATCAAAATGTAGCAAGGATGTAAAGTACTGGGCTGCCATGTTACAGCTCACCTGTTACCATAAAAAACCTCTGTATTCAGCAGCTAGATCAGTGGGAAGCCTGCTGCCCAGTTTGAATGGTATACTGAATTATATGACCAGTCTTGAAATCAGTTTGCCATCTTTTTCATAACTTTTATTTTTTTTCTTTTACTTTTTTTTTTCTTGCAAGTAGGAGGCAGGAATGACTGTTTGATTATTAGATATTCAAGTTTAGAATTCACTATCATTACTGCACAATTCATTTGCTGAAATAACAAGTAGCAGATGCTACAGTGCAAGTTAATGAATAATTCTTATTTGTACTCTGCCCTTTGATTGCAATTCATTTGTCACAGACATGTGGGTTTGGTAATTATTATTCTCACACTTCCTAACATGTTTTTAGCTTTTTAAAAAGCATTTTGCTCCTTTTTATTTCCTTCTGTTTCATTTTATTTATTAAATTCTCACATTTATCCCAATTGTTTTGGAAGTCTCATAGCTCTTTATGGTTTGCTTCTGAAGGGGAATATGAAATACTTCAACTGATTTGTTCCTTATTGCAAATAAGCCAAAGCCATGGCTTGTTTACCATTACCAGGTTTGTTTACCATTTCACAGGCACAACTGATGCCTCAGCTTTCAAGGGCATGTTTTCAGCTTGGTACAAACCATGCTTTGGCCTTGTTTTTCTAAAGTCTGCTCATTCCTAACCAGGAAACAGAGCAGGAATGTAATTTTCTTCCCATTCCAGTTTCTCTTTAGCTGCTTGTGTCCAGAAGTTGATATGGCATAGCTAAAATTAATACCAGAATTGACCCAGTTCACCCTCTGTTTTGGAAAGAAAAAAAATGGCTAAAAAGTAAAGGCCTGGTTATTTTTAGAAAGAGAATTAGTGTAAAATGTCATAGAAATATAATACATTTAATGTCAGACAAAAGTTATTGCCAGCAAGCTTCTCAAAGACAAGAAGAATGTTAGAGATATTAGGAAAAAGTATAGTGAAATTGGTAAGAAAAAATAAGCTGCAATGAAGCCTATCTGAAGCATTTAGAAGATGACTTTGCAAGAGGTTCAGAACAGAATAGAGTAAGAGTATATCCCTGTTTATTTTTTTACCTTCCTATCCCTCTTGTATAGATATTGGGGTAAGAAGATGAGGAATGTTTTCCCTTGTTCTCTCTGTGACTAACAACAGTGAGGCTGAAGTGGAGAAGTGGCTTCAGACATGAACAGAGGTGGGGTATGGGAAAAACGATCAGTACTAAGACGTATGTGGCATGTGTGAAGATTTAGGAAAACACACACACACACACACACATCACTAGTGGCACTATTGATGTTTTTGGGGTGTAATTCTTTTACACCATCAGTAATTCTTTTACAGTCATCAGAGGCTGCCCTGTGTGTTGTAGGATGTTTAGCAGCATCTCCAGCCTCAAGCCACTAGGTGCCAGTAGTATCCAGTTGTGACAGCTAAAAATATCTCCAGATGTTGCCAACAGTTGTCCCAGGATGAGAACCACTGGTTACATGATGTGGTTGGGCAGGAGGGTATTGGACCTTGAGCTGGGGTGGGCAGGTAAGTCCTGAGGGACAGAGTTGTAGGGAATGTTTCCAATTTCTCCTATGGAGAAATGGGAAGATGGTGGATGAAGGAAATGGAGTGGAGTGATGGGAACAAAGTATGTAAATTCCTAAAAGAGAAGGAAAGAATCCTGACGGCTGCAATAATTTTTTAAGACAGTAGATAAAAAGTCATGTAATATTTAAGGAGAAAGACCTATTTTTTCTAGAAGGTTGATTTGTATATTAATATGAGAGGGAAGGAAAGTTAGTTGATCAGAAAAAGAAGGGGGAGGTGGGAATGGTAAGTGTGTAAAAAAAAAATAGTTAAAGAACAAATAGGACCTACTATTTGATAGCACAGCAGGGTGATTATGGTCAATAGTAACTTAATTATATGTTTTAAAACAAAGAGTGTGATTTGATGGTATGTAACTCAAAGGATAAATGCTTAAGGCGATGGGTACTTCATTTATCCTGATATGCTTGTTTCACATTACATGCCTGTATAAAAATATATCATGTATCCCATAAATATATACACCTACTATATATTCACAGAAATTAAAATTTGAAAAAAAGAAGTGGAAATAGATTGAAAGCTCTCTCTGTAGAATGGAAATTGGATAGATTTTGCAGAAAGAACCTTAACCCCTTATTCCTCTCAGTAAAGGGGCCTATGAAATAAAAGAGAATTAAACATTATGTAGTTCTTAGAATTTTCATTCCTTCACTCACTCACCTATATCCTATGTCCCAGGTACTATATTATATACTAGACAGTAAGGATAGAAAGATGGTTAAGAAACGATCCCTGTCTAAAGAGGTCCACAGTATACTAGGGTAGACAAAGATGTGTAATTAGTTTGAGAATCTCACCTAAGAGGCATAAGCATGCAAGTCTCATAGTTTCTTTTCTTTCTTATTCTTTATTTATTTATTTATTTTTGAGACGGAGTCTCATTCTGTCGCCCAGGCTGGAGTGCAGTGGTGTGATCTCGCTCACCTCTGTCTTCTGGGTTCAAGAAATTCTCCTGCCTTAGCCTCCTGAGTAGCTGGGATTACAGATGTGTGCCACACGCCTGGCTAATTTTTGTATTTTTAGTAGAGACAGGGTTTCACCATGTTGGTCAGGCTGGTCTGAAACTCCTGACCTTGTGATCTGCCCACCTCAGCTTCCCAAAGTGCTGAGATTACAGGCGTGAGCCACCGTGCATGGCCAAAAGTCTCATACTTTCTGCGCTTGGTATTTTGTCACACTTCATTGCTTCTAACTGTCCACCTCCTTAGTTATTAAAACGTTCATTCTAGATATTGAAATTAGTTCCTACTCATTTAAAACATTAGTCTCACATTTATGTAAAAAACTTCTTCTCTGCCCTCCAGAGCAGACTAGACCTGCAGTTCCAACTCTCTTTACACACACCTCTCTTTTTTCCATGTGCCTGCTCTTCCAATGGTGGGGCGGTGAGTTTCAAGAAGGGAAACAGGCAATGCGTTAAATGCCTGACTGTGGCCATGTTGCTGTCTGCTTTCTGTAGGTCATTGTCAGTGAGAATGCATAGAGTTCCCCACAGCCCCACAGAGAACTCAATATCAAGCAGCCCTCTAAGTTTTGGTAGCCCTTTGCAAGACTTGCTGCATCTGTCAGCTGACTCCCAATTGGCAGTGGTGAAACACATTCTTTTGATACATAGAAATCCCTTGTCCCTTGTTATGTTCCATGGCAAGTGTGTAGGCCTCAATCTCATGTGCTCCCTGTGATCCCAGCTCTGGGGCCTGTAGATTCCGACAGGATCTATAGTCCAGATTATCACCATATTTCTCTGTAGCACCTACCAACTCTCCCCAATCCTCCAAAATTCCTGGAAATTCATAATGAAGGAGCAGTCAGCAAGCTTTTTGGCAGAGGAAACATCCAAATGGGGACTGGAGATATCAGTCTCCTCTTCTTGAAGATGCCCCAAACCTTTACTAGTACCATGTAATAGGTACAAATGTCCTGAACAGAACACGAAAAATACCATTAATGAAACAAATTAATAATTTGGACAAATTCATAATTTATTTTTCTTTCTTTGTGAGACAAGGTCTTACTGTCTCCCAGTTGGGCTGGAGTGCAGTGGGGCAATCACTGCAGCCTCAACCTCCTGGGCTCAGGTGATTTTCCCTCCCAGTCTCCTGAGTAGTTGGGACTACAGGTGTGCATAACGCCCGGCTAATTTTTCATGTTTCTTTAGAGAGAAAGTTTCACCATGCTGCCCACGCTGGTCTCTAACTGTATTTTTAAAATACAGGGTGGGCGCGGTGGCTCAGGCCTGTAATCCCAGCACTTTGGGAGGCCGAGGCGGGCGGATCACGAGGTCAAGAGAATAAGACCATCCTGGCCAACATGGTGAAACCCCGTCTCTACTAAAAATACAAAAATTAGCTGGCCATGGTGGTGTGTACCTGTAGTTCCAGCTACTCGGGAGGCTGAGGCAGAACTGCTTGAACCCGGGAGGTGAAGGTTACAGTGAGCCGAGATCCCGCCACTGCACTCCAGCCTGGCACCTGGCCATAGAGCAGGACTCTATCTCAAAAAAATAAAAGAAAAAAAGAGTTCCAGACCAGCATAGGCAACACAGGGGGACCCCACCTCTGCAAAAGTTAGCTGGCGTGGTGTCGTGACCCTGCAGTCCCAGTTAAGTAGGGCTGAGATAGGAGAATCGCTTGAGCCCAGGAGTTCCAGGCTGCAGTGAGCCATGGTCGTGCCACTGCACTACAGCCTGGCCAAAAAAGCAAGACCCTGTTTCAAAAAGAGAAAAGGAAAAAGTTAACATTAAGAACTTCCTTCATCAAGACACCAAGAGAGTAAGAAAACCCACAGAGTAGGAAAAGAGATTTGTAACACACATCTCCAACAAAGGACCCGCCCTGAGAACACGGAACTCGCAAAAAATTAGCAACACTTCCGCTCGAGCCTGGACGGAACTTCCTGTCACAGAGAAGAACATCCGGCAGAATTTCCTGTTAGGAGCACTCTCCGGCACGGAGAAATGGAGGCCGAAAGGCTGCGACTCCTCGAGGAAGAGGCGAAGCAGAAAAAGGTAGCCAGAATGGGATTTAATGCATCTTCCATGCTCCGAAAAAGCCAGCTAGGTTTCCTTAACGTTACCAGTTATTCCCGTTTAGCCAACGAGCTGCGTGTGAGCTGCATGCAGAGGAAAAAGGTTCAAATTCGGAGCTTGGATCTCTCCTCTTTGGAGAGCAACCGATTTAACTTCATCCTGGCGAGTACCAACAGCGACCAGCTCTTCGTAGTGAACCAGGTGGAAGTCGAAGGCTCCAAGTACGGCATCATCAGCTTGCGAACGCTGAAGATCCCTTCGTTCCACGTGTACGTGCTCAGAAACCTGTTCGTCCCCAACCGGAAAGTGAAGTCCCTGTGCTGGGCCTCGCTGAACCAGTTGGACTCTCACGTTCTGCTGTGCTTTGAGGGAATCAGAGAAGCTCCAAGCTGTGCCGTGCTGCTCCCAGCGTCGCGCTTCTTAAATGTCTACGCCAGTAGAGTAAACCAGCCTGGGATGCTCTGCAGTTTCCAGATCCCTGCGGCCTGGTCCTGTGCCTGGTCCCTGAACTTCCAGGCATATCACTGCTTTAGTGCCGGCGTGTCTCAGCAGGTCCTGTTGACCAACGTGGCGACGGGACACCAGCAGTCATTTGGTGCCAGCAGTGATGTCTTGGCCCAGCAGTTTGCCATTACGGCCCCTTTGCTGTTCAATGGCTGTCGCTCCGGGGAGATCTTTGCTATTGATCTGCGTTGTAGAAATCGAGGCAAGGGGTGGAAGGCCACTCGCCTGTTCCATGACTCAGCAGTGACCTCTATGCAAATCCTCCAAGAAGAGCAATGCCTCATGGCGTCGGACATGACTGGAAAGATCAAGCTGTGGGACCTGAGGGCCACTAAATGTATAAGGGAATATGAAGGTCATGTGAATGAGTCCGCATATCTGCCCCTGCATGTGCACGAGGAAGAGGGAATCGTGGTGGCAGTAGGCCAGGACTGCTACACGAGAATCTGGAGCCTTCATGATGCCCACCTGCTCAGAACCATCCCCTCCCCATACCCCGCCTCCGAGGACGACATTCCCAGCGTGGCCTTCGCTTCTCGGCTTGGGGGCATCCGGGGAGCGGCACCAGGGCTGCTCATGGCTGTCCAGCAGGACCTTTATTGTTTCCCCTTCAGCTAATTCTGCAGGTGGCAGCATGGCCGAATGTGAATTTGACTTAAAGAAGTTGAATATCTTATTACCATTTTTGTGAGAGCATTTTAAGAGACGTGGTGTATATAGATCCCATCCATCCGGCTGCCAGGGGTAAGGTGTTAAGAGTTTTATATGGTGACATTTCTGTAAAGTTATTTCAGTTAAGCTCTGGATTTAGCTTGAAAGTCCTTCCCATAAAAGGTACCTATTTCTTCTTGTTGAATACCTCAGAATAGTTGCCCCCCCCTTTTTTTTTAATAAATAATAAAAGACTTTTCTAAGGACTGAAGATTGGCAAAAACCAAATTAAAGCTGCTGCTTTCACTAGTAACTCTTTAGAGAAGCATAATGATGGAACTGGTAAGACTTTTTGACTAGTCGTACTGGGGTCCGAAGTATCTGTGCTTGAGAAAGCCAGTGGGAGAAGAGACAAAGGAGAGGTCATCTCTTCGAGTCTCTACAGAAATATTTAAGGCTGGAGCTTGGAATCATTAAATTTGGCCTTCTGAAACTCAATAGCAGATCTCCAAAATTCTCCTTTTATTATATATAAGCATTGGAAGGAAAGATGGATCTTTTAAAATACTAAACAGTCCTTCATGTGCTTTTGTTGAGGCCCTTCTCAGAATGTAAGGTACAGCAGTTCCAGTTTCTATTATGGTGACTTGAATTTCAGATTCAAGGACCCCGCTGTCAAAAGGGCTTTGACGTTTTGTAATCTAGGAGCAGCAGTTTGTGAGAGGTTTATTAAAAATGTTAAAAAGCTTGTTTTTCTACCAAGCAAGGAAGAAAAAAAAATGTGTAATAATGTTTGTTGCTACTTCTTAATAGCTAAAGCCTTGAAATGATGTGAATTTCCAAAATGCTAAAATTTGTACTATAATCATGCAATTGGATACTGCATAATAATGGAAAATAAGGCACAATTGCTATGCAAAACAGTATGGATCACTCGCAACATGTTGATTGAAATTAGGTAGAAATGAGTACAGGCCGGGCGCGGTGGCTCAAGCCTGTAATACCAGCACTTTGGGAGGCCGAGGCGGGTGGATCATGAGGTCAAGAGATCGAGACCATCCTGGTCAACATGGTGAAACCCCGTCTCTACTAAAAATACAAAAATTAGCTGGGCATGGTGGCGCGTGCCTGTAATCCCAGCTACTCAGGAGGCTGAGGCAGGAGAATTGCCTGAACCCAGGAGGCGGAGGTTGCGGTGAGCCGAGATCGCGCCATTGCACTCCAGCCTGGGTAACATGAGTGAAACTCCATCTCAAAAAAAAAAAAAGAAATGAGTACAAACTGTATGATTCAGTTCTAAAGTTCAAAAGCAGTAAAAACTTGTCCATGGTGATGAAAGGTAGAATAGTAGCTACCTCTGTAGAAGGAAGAAAGGATTTTTGTTTTTCTGTTTGAGAAGTGACATGGGGAAGCTTTAGGTATGCTGAGTTTCTTTATCTTGATAACTTGATACATAATTCATATATTTATACACTTCACACTTTTATAGTTTACTGTGTATATATTATTCCTCAAAAATAAAAATAAGAAAGCAATTAGGACACTATTGTAGTTAGTCAGTTAAGGGACAATGATGGCTTGGACCTGCATATGAGGAGTAGAAATGATTGCATTGGAAGAGCATTTGAAGGTAGTATTATTAGACTTGCTGATGAGAGTAATCTAGAAAGTGAAAATATAGCATAGCAGCTTTTTTATTAACTTCATAACTGGTAGATAATGGTGTCCTTTACTGAAATGGGGAGGATGAGGAGAAAAATCTTTAGGTGAAAGGAATGATGCTGAGTTTTAGGAATCTACTAACCTCCAATTGGAGATATAACGTATTCTTGTAAATCAGGGATCATGACATGAGTGGTAATACAAATTTGGTGACTTCAATACATAGAATTAAAATAGATGGGATAGATGTACTTTATATGATACAGATAGGGCTAATATTGTAGTAACTACATATTGATAGAAGATAAGTAGATCAACAGAGAAGGTATGGGAGTGTGGTTAGGCACAGATTTTTGGAATCCTTTAATTTAAATCAGTTTTTGATACTAACTTGATGTGTGACATGAGAAATTGTGTAAGCTTTACTTGCTGTTTATTCAGTGTAAAATGTCTTAGATAATAAAACAATCATAAAGTAGATAAAGGATTAAAGGATATATACATTGTCTTTTTTACATTGTAAGCATTCAAAATAAAAGAAAAAATTTTAAAATGGGCTGGGTGCGGTGCCTCACACCTGTAATCCGAGCACTTTGGGAGGCCGAGACAGGCAGATCACATGAGGTTGGGAGTTGAGACCAGCCTGACCAACATGGAGAAACCCCGTCTCTAAAAAGAAATTTAATTTTAAAAATGAAAAAAATACATTGTAAGCATTAAGAACTAGCTCCAGATACACACACACACACACACACACACACACACACACACACGCACACACGTGTATATATATATATGGCAAGTCCAAAAGCAGCTTTGGCAATTGACAAAAGAGAAAATGACTGCATAACTTGATCAGCTGTTTATCCTCACTTGCAAAGAAAACAAATGCAAGCAAATGCAGAAGAGGAAAAAAAAAAGAAAGAAAAAACTAATCAGAAAAACACAGACACCTAAAAGAAAGGTAGGCAGTAGTCTTGAATAGGAGAAAAAGAGATCCAAATGGCTGATAAACATCTGAAAAAAAGGCATCCAACTTCATTTATTGTCAAAGAAATGCAAATTAAAATCACAATGCCACACCACTTTGACTATAATAGTAAAATAAAATAGCTTAGGTAGAGTGATTTTAGGAATTTAAAAAAGAAGCAAATGTTGGTGCAGTTGTGAGCAAATAGAACTTTCATATACTGTTCAGAATGTATACTGGTACAGGCACTTGGAAAACTTTAGTAATTGCTAAAGGTAGAAGTTTGCATACTCTATAACCCAGTAATTTCAGTTAGGATTATATTCATAAGAAATGCATACCTGTGTCCACCATAATTTGTTAACAGCCCCGCTGGAATCTACTCAACTCTTCATCGACAGTAGAATGGATAAATTGTGGGATATTCACACAATAGAATCCTATATATCAATGAGAATGAACATAGCAGTATGAGTGAATACTGCAAACCTAATGCTGAAATTAAGATTCCAAACACAAAAGAGCACATATTGTACAATTAATGCATGTAAAGTCCCTAAACAGGCAAAATAAATCTATGTACTTAGAAGCAGGATTAATGGTATACTTGTAGGGTAGGAGAGTAGTGACCAGAAGAAAGGATTCTGGGAAGCTAGCAATGCTGGGTCATGCCAGACCCCTAGTGACTCCAATAGGAATGACACTGTGTCCAAGAGGCCAAAGAAGACATGTAGAGACAGTGAACAAGACTTGGGTTTATTGGGGGAACTTACATATCGGGATGGTCCAGTGGTAGCAGGCTGGACAGAAGAACTACTACTGTTTGTAAAAATCATGCAGTCTATATAGCATTTTCATTTAGCACACTCCACCTAGCAACCTCAGTTTTAACCCGTAGCAAAGGACCTTGATCCCCTGTATTGCCTATGTTGTAAGGGATGGGCTAGGGGATCAAATGTTCACCACAGATGAGTGAAACTCAGGGTTGGTCACCCCCTGATTCCTTAGTTTGGGACCCTGAACACACATTCATTTTAGATGACAGGGTCATGCTCAGAGTATGCTTGCTATTGCTGTCAGGTACATCTGCTGTATCGCGAAATACTGGTTACACAGTTTTTGTTCACTAGTGATAATTCTTAGAGCTGTACCCTTAATATATGTGTCTTCTTCTGTGTGTTATACTTAAATAAAAAGTTAAATTTTTAAAAACTTAGACTTTCTCTTGCTGCCCCCACCTGTGGCTTTGGGGAGAGAATCCACTCTTTACAAATGCTACCCTCTCTCAAAGTATTACATTTCCATGCTCTGTCCCAGCTTAATTCCTCTCAGGGATAAAGGTTATCAAACAGGTCAGTCTCTTGCCTCCAGGAATATTTAATAACTCAATTATTCCAGCTGTAATTTGAATCTTGTTCACTACCCTGTGAGGAAAATGTGTGTGTGTGTGTGTGTGCGTGCATGTGTGTATGTAATTTTTTCTCCACCATACCTGCTGAGTTGCAAAAGGAGCTATTAGAGAAGCTAAGAAGAGTTGAATAAGAGAGCTATGATCCAGGTATACAGTCATGACTGGAGAAACATTCTCCTTTTCTTGGATGGAAGTGGCAAAGAGTGAACCTAAGTTTAATGGTAGTGGAATACTAAATGGTCATTTGACAAGGTAATTGTGACCAAAAGAAAAATCTCACAAGTAATTTCATAGGATAATGTCAGGGGGAAAACCTGTAAGAACAAGATGCTCTTTCCTTCTCTCTACAGTGCTCACTCAAGCACATAAATTGATTTGGAGTTAGAGAACCTGAGTCTGATTCCATGTTCTATTACATTCTTGTTAAGTGAACTGTGGAAAAACCTTTGACCTCTCTGAAAAATGGAGATGAGGATTAGCAACCTGGTCAGAAACTATCTTTTGCATGTTTTCCTGTACAGGAAAATGTGTCTGTGCAGACGCTTGTTGTTTCTGACCATTGTTGTACAGGAGAGATGGGGGTGTGACCAGATAGTTCTTACCCATGTATAAGCCATTTTTTTTTTTTTTTTTTGGTACAGATGGGATCTCCTTGTGTTGCCTGTTGCCCAGGCGACTCTTGAACTTCAGGGCTCTTGTCTTAGCCTCCCAAAGTGCTGGCATTACAGGCACAAGCTACCTGGCTATAAGCCATTCTCTCTCTCTCTCTCTCTCTCTCTTTCTCTTTTTCTCTTTCTCTTTCTCTCCCTCTTCCCTTCTTCCCTTTCCTTTTTTGCTTTCCCTCTTCCCCTTTCCCTCCATTTTTCCTTCCCCTCCTCTTTTCCTCTCTCCTTTTCCCTCCCCTTTTCCCTTCCCTTCCCTTTTTCCGCCATCCCTTTTCCCTTCCTTTTCCTTTCCCCCCCACCCCTTTTCCCTTTCCTTCCCCTTTTCCCTCTCCCTTTTTCCTCCCCTTTTCCCCTCCCCTTTTCCCTTTCCCCTTCCCTTCCCCTTTTCCCTTCCCTTCCCTTCTCCTTCTTCTCTCTTTTTTTCAAGACAGAGTCTCTCTTTGTTGCCCAGGTCAGAGTGCAGTGCTATAATCTTGGTTCACTGCAACCCCTGTCCTCCAGGTTCAATTGATTCTTGTGCCTCAGCCTCCCAAGTAGCTGGGATTACAGGTGTGTACCACCACACTCAGCTAATTTTTGTATTTTTAGAAGAGACAAAGTTTTGCCATATTGACCAGGCTGGGCCATTTTCTTATTGAAGTGTTCAGGTGGGCAAGCTCCCTCCTCCCCGACTCTTAAGAGGCAAGGAAAAAAATCCCCTAAATGTGAGGACAACAGGTGTTCAAAATTAAATTTGTGTTCTTGGTAAGCCTCATGATAGAGCCACTTTATTTTCTAATGGATTATCTAAGTCAGTTTTCCAGATAACCAGCCAAGTTTGTCTCATGATCAGAATTATTTTCCCAAAGCTGTAGACAGGATGAAACCAAGGAATAGTAGTCAGCTCAGTTGCACAAGCAAATTTCTGAAAGATGTTGGAACTTCTTCAGAGTTAATGGAAAACCTTGTAGGAATTGTGGTTTATGGCAATAATCAAATGACACTTCACTCTTTTCGTACTTCTATCTATCTGACTTAATAGTTCCCTATATTTAGGCATCTATTTATATCATGAATCCTCATGAAAGTCAGACAATTTTACACCATGTTGATCACACACAAAATGATACAAAAAAAAATCTGAGGAAATTCTCTCTCAACCTATATTCCAGAAAAAATTTAAAAAACCATCTCATTGTCATTCTAGTCTTTTGAGAACACCTCACATTTTTTTCCAAAGGCAAGTACCCACTGACGTAGAAAGACTGGTGCTTAAGAGCAAGATCTTTGTGCCTTGGTTTCTTCATCTGTATAACTTATTGAAGGTATTATGAATGAGATAATGCACATAGAGGGCCTGGCAATTAGGCAAAATCTCTTGGTAAGGATGGGATTGAGAGTCAAAGGAAATTCCCCTACAGAACTCTAAAAGTGACATTACCTTAAGTTTTAGCACTTGGGGAAGTTTTAAAGATTTTCCAAAAGGATAAGTATATCATGATCTGTAGATATAAATACCAAGACAGCTTCAGAGTTATTTTAATCCAAGTCTGTTGAGGCTTTATTATGTGATACAGCATTGTGTGGGTTAAACAACATAACACACAGAATGATATTTTGTTCTTCAAACTTATTTGGCAAATCAAGTGTACTGGCGGTTTATAAAAATTAGTGGTATCTAAGTCAAGTTACACTCCAACTATACCAGGAAAAAGAGTAGAAAATATAATTAAATTTTACTATGCAACCAACATTTGTATTTTACACCTCATGCAGGCTATTACAGAAATTGAGAACTCTGCACAAAATGTATTTTTTTAAAAGTTTCTTATCACAAAAGGGACATATTTTCTTCTAAAAATGATTAGAAAATACAGGCAAACAAAAATAATCCTATCACACAAATTAAAACAGAAGTTTTGATCAGGCTTGCCTAAAATGACAGTTAAAACCAGAGCCATTTTAAGAATCCAAAATATGAGATTAGTTTTGTTCAGAAAGAATTATCTGTAAATGTTAATGAATGTTTGCATAGTTACCATAAATTAAGAGGTAAGCTTTTATGTATTTTTACTTCATCAAGTTGAATTTCTATTAAAATTTATTTCAAGAAAGGGAAAATAACATTCCAGTAATACTCGGATTTTTTAGTAATACTGAGCCTATGATTTATGGGACATCATTTTTTAATGTTTGTCCACTGAATGTTTTAAGTTATGTTTGTTATAGGAAGTTAAATTTGCTTACCATTCTTAGGATAATTTATTTGGTTATACTTAATTAGTATAAAATACTTGATTTTTAAAAAATTAAGGACATACTAAATTCTCCCGAGATCGTTATTTTGCGGTAATATAAATAAGCGACTCAGATTAACATGAAAGCAAACCACTACACGTTCCATTCAATTTTTTTTGGTGCCAGGCATTGTTTTAACCTCTTTATACAGCCATGTTCGAAACAGACAAGATTCCAGCATCATGATGCTTATTTTCTATTCTAGGACAGAAAACAGGAAAAAAAATACCCACCACAATCTCAAATAGTGATAAGCATTTTGAAGAAAAGTATATAGGACAGCGGGGTAGAGAATGACCAGGCCTATCATAGCTAGGGTGGTCAAGGAAGAAGGCGTCTCTTGAGTTTGAGCTAAGAGCTGAATGAGCATGGGAGAGAGGAACAGTTAACGTGAACACTGGTCAGGTTTCTTTCTCCCGGGACCAGACTGCTTCGAAGTCTCCACACCTCCGTTTACCGTAACGTGTCATGAACATATAAAACCTCTTATTTTATTACAGTACAGTCAAAAATCTGAGCTTCACAGATCAGTAGGGCAAGTAACTGATTCCGAACTGTGTACTTGCCTTTATGATACTGGCTACACACTGGTGTTAAGGAGAACGATGTACGTGGCAGAGGTTCTGGACATGTTGGCCCCAACTTGGGTTTATCCTGGCAGGCTCTAGGTAGAGAGGCTCAGAAAACCTGCGTCCGTCCTTCCCATCTCTCCTCCCATTTCCGAAACCATGGCCCCAGCTTCGAGAAAAAAGAAAGTAGACAGAACTCCCAAGGACAGCTTTCCTGGCTGACGAGGATGTAAACCGTTTACGTGTTGATTTCCAAGCACGCGCAAAAGCAAGGGTGCCAAAGAAGACGGCGGACACCAAACTTCACCTGCAGCCACGCCCTCCCCATGTGGGGGTCTGGGTTCCTGGGAGGGAAAGCCTCTCTCTTGGTGCTCAACGTGCTACGTCACTTCCGCTGCCTCCACGGCAGGCGTCTCTAAATGACGTTGTCGTTTCCGGGTCGCTGAGGCCGCCTCTGGCGGCGAAGGCGTCAGTGTTTGCGGATGCCCAGTCTATGGAGTCAGTTGGTACTGGTGGAGGCGCGGAGGCAGGAGGCGGTGTCCGAGTAGGGGCCTCTGCCCCGCCAGGATGTTACCGGGCTTGGCCGCCGCCGCCGCGGCCCACAGATGTAGCTGGTCCTCTCTGTGCCGGCTCCGTCTGCGATGCAGGGCGGTGACCCGTGGCCCCAGCAACCGCCAGGGTGAGTGTCCCGCACTGACCTGCTGGCTCTGTAGAAGCCGAACTGGAGGGCCAGGCTTGGCTCGGCGCCTCGCCTGGGGCAGTTCGCCCGCTTGCCTTTCGCCAACCTCAGAACCTTCCTTTCCTGCCTTCGCCTTTCCAGTTCATCCTGCGCAGCCCGCGGGGGTCCTGACAGGTCTCCCTGATTCTGGTCCCTCGCGCGGCCCCCGCGGGAACTTGTGGGCACCTCACGGGCCGGATTGCACCTCTGAAGCCCACTGCTTTGTACCAAATTAATGTTACGTGCGCATCGCGGTGTCCCGCGGTGACTCACCTCCGCGGTTGGAAAATTGCGGACTCCGCAAAGTTCTGGGGTCTTTGTTGCTCTCCAGCACAGCCTCATTTAGCACTTGGTCGAGATTTTCTTGGCCTGTTCTTTTTCTCATTCTCCCAACTTGTTTTCTTAAATTTTCTGAAAGGAAGGAGGGGTGCTACTCAATACGGATCTTTCTGAAGAAGTACGAAAGTATCCCACAATCATTGAATGAACCCAGTTTGGGGCCGAAAAACAAAGGAACGCTTCAGTTCGGTTGAGCAGTTTTTTTGATGAAAAAGTGTCAGCTGTAACTGTAACCCAGAAAAAAAGATGGTTGAAGAGAATTTTCATCTCTCTCAACATTTTCTGACTCTAATTTAAATAGTTTGAGAGTTTCTAAAAATAACCCTGAACTCCTAATCAGGCTTACCTCTTCATATTTGCCGTAGCTTGGCACACATTGCTTGACACTGAGAATTAATAGGAACTCTGAGGGAGAAGGCAGAACTAAGTTTACCCTTAATCTAATCCCTCCATTCTTGGGGTGCAAAGAGTATTTACAGAAACATTTCTCAAAAATTCATGTTTGAAGCCAGGTGCGGTGGTGCATTCCTGCAGTCCAGCTACTCGGGTGGCTGAGGCAGGTGGATTGTTTGAGCACAGGAATTCTAGATTAGCATGGGCAACGTAGTGAGACCCATTTCTTAAAAAATAATCATGTTTGAAAAAACTTGTAGCGTGTTTGTCACCTCCTGAAAGAAGTCAGAAGTTGCAGTCATTTGAGATTGTATGTAGTATAAGCTATAGTAACTATGTTGTGCATATAAATTAGAATATATTCATGTATTTTATTTGCAATTAATGTTAAAGTTGACTCTTAAAATTTCATACGGATGCATTTTAACAGCACTATTCCCAGGACTTTTTGGTAGTGATAGAAAACTGTTGAATTTTTCATATTGGCAGTGTATTGCCAGGTTCTCTTACGAACAAAAATGAATCATCGGGTGGGTACAGTGGCTCATGCTTGTAATCCTCAGGAGGATTGTAAACCTTAGGAGACTGAGGTGGGTGGATCCCTTGAGCCCAGGAGTTCCAGACCAGCTTGGGCAACATGGCAAATTGCCTCTGTACAAAAAATTAGCCTGGTGTGGTGACACGCCTGTAATCCTAGCCTGTACTCAGGAGGCTGAGGTGGGAGGATTGCTTGAGCCCAGGAGGTCGAGGCTGCAGTGAGCCATGAGCATGCCAGTGCACTCCAGCCTGGGTGACAGAGACCGACCCTATCTCAAAAAGAAAAAAAGAAAAAAAAAAAGAGGAAAAATGAATCATCTGTTTATAGTGTACTCCAGAATCCCCAAGTAAGTTTCTAACGCAGATGCTTCTATTGACCAAGCAATTTTGGCATTTTACACTGAAATTACAGTGGCTGTTAAATGTAGTCTAAACTGCCTTTTAAGTGTTGGTAAAAATGAGTTGAAACAGTGTAATACTTGTAATCCCTCTTCTGTGTAGCTGTCATCATGTTGAAAATTATGTATTCTTTGTTTCATCTGTCTGTGAAACACAGATAATTATTACCTATCTTTGTGGTCAAAATGACTTTGCAAAGTTCTTTGGAATGTTTGCTACTACAAAAAATTAAAATGCTTTTTCACACTTAAAAATGCTTAGTAGGTTTTTTAAAATAACCTTGCTTGTGAAAATTTAGTTTCAGTAATGAAGGATTTCTTAAAAGGGCAGCCATTATTGTTATTTTTTAGATGGGGTTTCGCCATAATGGCCAGGCTGGTCTTGAACTCCTGACCTCAAGTGATCCAGACACCTCGGCCTCCCAAAGTGCTAGGATTACAGGCGTGAGCCACTGAAGGGCAGCCATTATTATGGCAAAATTTAAAAATCATTTAGAAAAAGAGTACTGTTTAAATTGGATGCATGTGAGAAGACTATTTGAAGAACTTTTGGAGAAAGAAAATCTAAAAACATGTTTTTATTTGTCTAGAAATAAGGTTTAGTTTATACTTCTAAAATGCCTGTGTGGCTGGGAAAAGCTTATAAAGCATAAAGAGAGGAGGGAACCTTGAGGAATTACTTGAATACTTAAAAATGAGAAATGCCGGCTGGGCGCAGTGGCTCATGCCTATAATCCCAGCACTTTGGGAGGCCAAGGAGGGTGGATCACCTGAGGTCAGGAGTTTGAGACCAGCCTGGCCAACATGGGGAAACCTTGTCTCTACTAAAAATACAAAAATTAGCTAGGTGTGGTGGCTAGCGCCTGTAATCCCAGCTACTCAGGAGGCTGAGGCAGGAGAATCGCTTGAACCTAGGAGGCGGAGGTTGTGATGAGCTGAGATTGCACCACTGCACTGCAGCCTGGGTGACAGAGTGAGACTCTACTCAAAAAATAAAAAACGAAAAAGAATAATGCCTTTAAAGGCAAAAAAGAAACTGTCTGAAAGAAATATGAGAGCCGTGTTTGTAATTTTGAGTTGTCTGGTAGCCATATTAAAAAATGTAAAATTAATTCAAGGCGAATTAATTTTAATAATGAAATTAATATATTTTAATAAAATATATCAAATTTAATATTTTATTGAGTATATTCAAAATATTTCAACATGTAATCAATATCAAAATTATTGAAATATTTTACATCGTCTTTTTGTACTATCTTTAAAACCCAGTGAATATTTTATACTTACAGCACATCACAGTTCAGATTAACCACATTTTAAGTGCTCAGTAAATGGTGACTACTTAACTAGATAGTGTAGTTAGAGTTAGTATCTTTAAGTTATGAAGAAGTTTTACAAACCAGTGTACATTCCAGTAGGAAAATGGACAAAGGAATCGAATACTGAGTTCATAAAGTTGTTCAGGTGGCCAAAAAAAATGCAAAACTGTTCCATACTTACTAAAAAACAGAGACTTTAAAAAATTTTACTTCTCACTGCCTATCTCGTTTTGGCTGAATTTTTAATAATGATGATACCCCATATTGAGAGTGCGGGAAAACAGCAACTCTCTTAACTACTGATTGAAAACATAAAAGGTTTATGCCCTCTGACCTAACAGTTTTTATTCAGAAGGATTTGCTTTAAGGAAATAATCAGATACATATTAAAATGTGTGCAGAAGTTCATTATAGTAATAAGTTGGTAGTTTATAGTTATGAAGAGTTGGAAACTGAAATGTATTATGATACAGTTATTATGGGCTTGTGATATATACAACCAGTTTTAAAAAAAATTATAATTCAGGGCTGAGTGTGGTGGCTCACGCCTGTAATCACAGCACTTTAGGAGGCCAAGGAAGGTGGATCAGCTGAGGGCAGAAGTTCGAGATCAGCCTGGTCAACATGGTGAAAAGCCTGTCTCTACCAAAAATACAAAAATTAACTGGGCATGGTGGTGGGTGCCTGTAATCCCAGCTACTTGGGAGGGTGAGGCAGGAGAATCAATTGAACCCAGGAGCAGAGGTTGCAGTGAGCAGAGATCGCGCCATTGTACTGTAGCTTGGTTGATAAGTGCAAAACTCCGTCTCAAAATATATATATATATAAATTATAATTCAGAAGAATAGTGACATGGAGAATACTCTTGTATTATTAGGTAAAAACTGTAGAAAACATAGTAAAAAATATATACTGTGATACTAACAGTGAGTTTTTCTGAATTTTTTATTTTACAAATGATCTACAGTAGACATATACTTTAAAAGAATAAAAATGTTACTTATCTCCCATAGTAAGTATATCCTTTTTTATTAAAAGTTCCTGGCCGGGCGCGGTGGCTCAAGCCTGTAATCCCAGCACTGTGGGAGGCTGAGGCGGGTGGATCACGAGGTCAAGAGATCGAGACCATCCTGGTCAACATGGTGAAACCCCGTCTCTACTAAAAATACAAAAAATTAGCTGGGCATGGTGGCGCGTGCCTGTAATCCCAGCTACTCAGGAGGCTGAGGCAGGAGAATTGCCTGAACCCAGGATGCGGAGGTTGCAGTGAGCCGAGACCGTGCCATTGCACTCCAGCCTGGGTAACAAGAGTGAAACTCTGTCTCAAAAAAAAAAAAAAGTTCCTTTGGGTTAGGATAGAGCACATATTTCTTTTTTCATGTGTTTATACCTTGCCTAATTTGCCAAAAATTTGAGATGGGAAGACTCTTAAATATACTAGATGAATGGATACATGCTTTTCTTAAATCTGAGATTAATAAAAGTATAATTTTTATATAGAAAATAGAAATCAAACATACTCTATATATTATGATTGTCTCTAATCTGCTAGTATTTATGGCCATAAGAAAAGTAGACTGAGAATTTAACTTTTATCTCCAGGAGTGGTCCTTCCTCCTCCCCAACCTCTTTAAATAACTAAGAGCATTGCCAGTTATAGAAGACCAGCCTGGCCAACATGGTGAAATCCCGTCTCTACTAAAAATACAAAAACTAGCTGGACGTGG